AAAAGATTAAAGAAATCAGTTAAGTTAGTTATTTGTAATAAATAGGTGTTGTCTTTCCTAAAATATTTTGCTAATGAAGTGTATTGGCTAGAACTATATTATTAGAAGGACTATCTTAAAAAAAATATAAAAATATGAGAAACAAAGTGGATTAGGGTCTTATAATTAGGACCAAAATAAAAGTCAAATAAAGTCTTATATTAAAGACTGGAGGTAGTACCATCTTATCTCCTTACACTTTAAATTATTTAATTTTAATCCCTCAGAATTATGTTAGAATCAATGCTTTGTGTTTAAAAGACCTTTGGGATGTAAAATGCCCAAAACAAACATGCACAATTTAGCTATTTAGATTTGGGTTTAATTGATGTTCCTCTCCCCAGCTTCTTCCCACTACTCTTTTAATTGACTTTAATGAAAGGGTTGTTAAATTTTTGCTGGGATAGTGGTTGTAATTAGTGTTCGTCAGTGTCTTGAATATAATCATTTCTAATAGAAATATACCTTCGCCTAGCACGCTGCATGCATGAAGCTAATGCATACAGAAATAGACACAATTGATATAGAGTGAGGTGAATATATATATATATATATATAATTTTTTTCACCAGGGAAGGTGAATATAGGTATATGGCTTTATTCAGTAGATTTTGACGCATTAGATGAAGTGATGGGAAGAAAAATAATAGAGATTAAAAAGAAGTTGGATTTCATTTTTGTGAAAAATCATGTAGTCAGAAGTAGAGCCCATCATTCTCTATCTATTTTTCTCCTTATTTTCACTTAAAATCACCTGAAGGCTGCATTTGATAGAAAACATTAAAAATGAGAGATTTGGATTGTAATTGCAATTAAAAAAAATCAATTAAAAGAGTGTTTAATATAAGAGATTGTTTGTTATATGGGATTAGCCAAACCCATGTATGCGGGATTAGAGAATACCACAGGGGAAAGTGGTGTTCCCCAATCCCATCTCTATGGGTTTGTTTAATCTCATATAACAAGCAATTACTTATGTTAAATACTATTTTCATAATTTTTTTCAATTACAATCCAAATCTCAATCCCTTATTTTTAATGTTTTGTACTAAACAGGACCTAAAGGTTCAAGGCAATTTTTAATTAGTGAACAGCCTGTGCCATACTAACTAATGATGTGTCAAATGGGTCTCCTGATTCGAAAACAAATTAGAGATTCGTCGGTTAAATAACAGATGGCAATGGCACAGATATAGTCGGGCCACATGCCCACAACAATGGGCCTGGATGGTCTCATTAATATCAAACCTCCTGTAATAGACCCATTATAGCTGTCGGACTATAACGGATTAAGGACATAAATGAAAGAAGAAGACGAAATTAATAAACAGTGAAAGATACAAATTATGGTTCCTCCTCAATTTAAATGAGCATTGGGCTAGTTTTGGTTCTAAGCTGGCATGATTAACAACCAAAAATAACTCCCACAATTGTAATTCACACAACTAGAATAATTTTTACCAGCTCAACTATGATATACTATCTTTGATTCTTAATATAAAATCTAATTAATTAATTGAAAAAATAAAAAATTATTAAATTACTTAATTATAGTGTGTGTGAGCCAATTCCATACCTATGCCTTATCCCATTGCTATCTTATTACTGAGAAAACTAAACTTTTGATGAATAGGGAATCCTCCCTGTTTAAAATATTTACGTGTATCATTATTAGATTATATATCAATTTATAAGTCAAGCAAATTAGTTTGGAGAAAATCAAAAGACATAAATACTTTAAAGCCTAATTTAAAAAGACTTTGTTACGCTAATTCTGTGTTTCTTACTGAAATTTTTTAGTATTTATCCCTGTAGAAGGCATTAGCACCTCGCACCAGGATGCATCATATGCATGGTTTCTTTTTTTTTTTTTTGGGGAGTCTCCAAAAGTGACCTGAAAGTCTTAGTCCATGACTCTGTCGTTTGCCTAGACCATAAACATATATATAAGCGTGTTCAATTAGCAGCGCTTTCTCCTCCTCTAAACAAGGCCAAGTTTTAAACCACTTACTAATGTTGGCAATACCTTGCGAATCCTAGGAATGAAGCTTTTATTAACGTGTTAGCACCAACCTGCAATCTGACGCTTTCGTTACCGGGACATTCTGTGTCCGGGGACATTAGTGTCCACTGTTCCATTAAACAAACATGGCAGTCCTGCAGAAGGTCATCGTTTTGATCCTTCTTCGCTTGTTCCTTGCCGCAGCAGATGCCACTCATCACAAACATCACCACGACGATCATCATCTCGCCGAAGATCTCCTTGACTTCCTCAAGCCCCTCAATCCTTTAGATCCTCATAAAGGTTCTTCGTCTCCGCCACTTGATGATGATGATTCTGGTGACAAAGGTCCCTTGGGTCTTCTCCTTAATCCTTTGGATCCTCATAAAGGTTCTTCGTCTCCACCACCTGATGATCCTGATCCTAGTGATAAAGGTCCCTTGGGTCTTCTCCTAAATCCTTTTTCGGATCCTGGCAGTCCCCCCGTAAACAAACCCACTGATCCTTTGTCTGATGGAAAAGATTCGAACCAGGACGACGTGCCTGCGAAACCTGATTTTGAGACAGCTTCTTTAGGGACGTGGGAATTGTTGAATGTAGACACTGGGGTGTCGGCCATGCACGTGCAGCTAACGCCCAATAACAAGATCATCCTTTATGATACCATCATTTTCCGCATTTCCAGGATCAGAGCACGACCAGGCGAATGTATTACGTATCTTGATCGCGAAAATGTAACGAAGGAGGATTGTTGGGCTCACGTCGTCGAATATGATATTGAAACTAACCAAGTTCTCAGGCCCATCAAGGTTTGCGTCTCCGTAATAATCCTTATAATTACATGAATTCGCATGCTCATTTTAAGTATGAACATGTGTGTGTATATATATACATACAGATAGAGACAGATCCGTGGTGTTCATCAGGAGGGCTTGCCAATGATGGTACCCTCGTCAGTACTGGTGGCTTTTTGAGCGGAACTAGATCTTTGAGATTCCTTTCTGGCTGCCCAGATTGTCAGTGGAGAGACTACCCTAATACATTCAGAGAAGATAGATGGTATATCCACTCCCTTATTCTTCTTCATTATTTCTTGTATCTGTGTTCATATATAGAATAATGCAGATTCAAGAAGGAATTAAGCATATTTCTGGTGATAGGTATGCGACTCAAGCAAAGCTTGCAGATGGAGGGTTCATCTTGGTTGGAGGACGCAGAGCTTTCAGCTACGAGTACATTCCACTAGAAGGCCAAAGAAGCGACAACCTTCACTTCTTTGCGTTCCTCTACGAGACCTCCGATCTGGAAGAGAATAATCTCTACCCATTCGTCCACCTTTCCGTCGATGGCAACGTCTTCATCTTCTCCAACAATCGCTCACTCCTTCTAAATCCTAAGAACAACAAGATTGTTCGCACCTATCCCGTCCTCCCCGGCGGCTCCCGCAACTACCCCGCCTCCGGCATGTCCGCCCTCCTTCCCATCAAGCTCGATGCCGACGGCAAAGCCGACACCGCCGAGGTCATGGTCTGCGGTGGCAATACCCCGGACGCCTTCCACATCGCGGAGACGCTCAAGCAATACCTCCCAGCTCTCCAAGACTGCAACAGAATGGTCATCACAGATCGTGTCCCCGCGTGGGATTCTGAAATGATGCCTTCAAGAAGAACCATGGGTGACCTCTTGAATCTACCCAACGGACAGCTCTTGTTCATCAACGGTGCTCAGAATGGCACATCGGCATGGTGGGACGCCGAGGTTCCCAATTTCACGCCGGTGCTTTACAGGCCCGACAAGCCTAAGGGTGAGAGATTTAAGGTTTTGGCCGCCACCTCCATCGCCAGAATGTATCACTCAACTTCCGCTGTGCTTCCTAATGGCAAAATCTGGGTGAGTGGAAGCAACACTCACGACACTTACAGGGACGTTGATAAATACCCAACCGAGACCAGAGTGGAGAACTTCTCCCCTCCTTATCTCGATCCGGCTCTCGATGGGTTCCGGCCGGTGATCGACGAGAGAACGTCGGACAAGCTGTTGAGGTACAAGCAAACCTTTGAGACTAGGTTCACGGTGAACGATCGAACCGCGACTTTCACGAAGAGTGATATCAAGGTGATGATGTATGCGCCGCCTTTCACAACTCATGGGTACTCTATGAATCAGAGACAAGTGGTGCTGCCGCCGGCGACTCTCACCTCCGAACTCGGAGGGATATACAAGATAGCCTCCATGGCTCCGGCGTCGGGTGAGATTACTCCGCCGGGGTACTACTTACTGTGTGTTGTGCACGGTGGGGTGCCTAGCAAGGGAATATGGGTGCAAATCGGGAGCTGAGAACAAAGTTTAATTACTTTGGTGACATACCTTCTTCTTATTGTTGTTCTAATTAAGGTAGGGCTCAATTCTGTTCTAGATAAATATTATTGTTTCTGTGACTTTGACCATTCAGGAATTACGACGTACAAGTGCCTTCTCAGAATATCATGAAGTATAAAGCCTTTTTTTATTGCCAACACGAATGAATTACGTATCAATTACTATGATGAGAATGTTTTACTCTGAGACTCTCGACTAAAGTACTAGTTTAATTTTTTATTATACCCACTCACTTTGTAGATAATTTCAGGGGAAGGACATTAGTGTTTTTTTTTAAAAAAATTTATATGGAAAATGCATGCATAATGTACATAGTGTGTTCATTTATACCAATATTTAATTTTTTTTTATATAATCATCTTATATATACTACTTTCGAAACTTTAAGCTCATTTAAGGGAAACGAGTGCCTTCCATTCATCTAATAACAGTTGGTTCGAAATTTTTAATTTAAATATATAGTTTTCATAATATTATGCTAATTCCAGTTTTTAAAATAAAAGCTAGTTGAAAATAATTTGAGTAAATCAAAAAAATTAGTTAAGTTAGTTATTTATAATAAATATATGTCATCTTTTATAAAATACTCTTACTAATAATGTATATTAGCTAGAACTACTATTTGATGAAACTTTTAATAGTATATAGAACTACTATCATAACTACTTTAAAAAAAAAGATAAATATGAGGGATAAAATCGATTAGAATATTATATTTAGGATCAAATTGAATCTCAAACTAACTTCTATGTATTAAGGACCGTAGGTAGTATGGCATATACATATTTCACCCCTCACACAGCAAAACATCTATATATATGAATGCACAATCCCGTGTGTGTGTGACATGTAATGACTTGTAATGATGCAACCGAAATGTTTGAAAAGGAATCTTCATTTACATTTTTTTTAACCGTGGTTTAAGACTCCGCTTTTTTTCGTACCAACGTAATCAGATACTATGTGTGTAACGAAAGTTTCTTTTACCACAGCTTCTAAACGTGGAATCATTTGTCTCCTCAACATCATATGGAAGAAAAGAAATCTGGCTTTGCATGACGGTAAATGTTATCCTCCATTAGTTACAATCAAAGCGGTTTTCAGTCTTCATTCTTTCTCAGCCTCAGCTTTCATGGAGCCAATTCGAGATAATAGCAGAAGTTGTCTTGTGGACCCTCTTCTTGGCATCATCTGCCATCGTGCATGGTTTGCCCTTGAAGGGTTTTTTTTTTTTTTTTTGGTTGAAGAATCATTCTGGAGTAGTTGGCAACTCTTTTATTGGTCAATATTTCAAAGCCTCTTCATTTTGGATCCATAATTCTGACCTCCTTGAAGTAACATCAAGAACATCATTAACAGTCACTTGTGTTGACAAAAACTTCATCCATGTCCCAGTGAATCCTCCCACCTCGACCAGCATAATGCGGCAGGACTGTTCTCCCTAACTGCATGGCCTTTAGTAGCTATTATGCTAAAGTCTCCCCCCCCCAGTTTTTTTTCCAGCATTTTATTTCCAAGCTAAGTTTTTGTAATATGCAAAACTCTAGTTTATTTAATATTATCATGGGAGGTAGTACAATAATTGTGATGCCAAAATTTGAGCAGTTTTTTATCTATAACAGTTGAGGCACATAAATATTAACATATATCAATTAATATAAATTTTTTGTGAAACTGTCTCGTTTATTAGTTATTATTTATCCTTTTTTTTGGTTTCATGCAATATACAACTTATTTCTCAGGGAAAACGTGTTAAAGTGATGGATAAATATTGATAAATGAAAATTTCGGCATGTTCATTGCCTTTTCTCTACCTCGATCCTTCATTCTCATTCTGAATTAAATATCATAGAGTCCCACTTTATATGAATGAAAATAAAATCTGAATGCCATGCGCTCACGCGACTTTTACACGCGCGCGCATATTCTCCAAAATTCTAATTCCCTTACGTCATCACTTTCGTATTTATTTCTCAAAGTGCTGCATAGCACCGTTACAATAGTCGTTTGCACGACATTAATTCCGCGTTCCAGCTACCTCATTTCCATTTGAATATATATTTTGCAACACTTGTTATTAGTATTTACTTATGTTATACATACTCCAGGTCCTAATTAAATAAATATATATATGAGATTGATTTATTTTGTCTCTCTTATTTCGTATTTTTTTTTCCCAATATTATCCTGATTAATTTCATAATTTTTCTCACCTTCTTTGTCCCTCACATTTAGTATCTTAATTAAAAGAGGGGTGTTTTAGAGAAAAGGGACAACACAATGTAATTACTCTTAATAATGGCAAATAACAGATTCAGCCAATTTTCTATATCTCCACTTGAATTACCCCTCATTGATTAGGTTTTATATTTAGGGGTGGAGGGAGTAATATGATAATAAATGATTGTTTTCTTAAAAGGAAAGCGGAGAAAAATAAATGAATCAAATTTCAAAACTAGGTAGTGGGTATCACAACCAGGAGCCTAACTTATTTATGATTCCTGCCATTAATTCCATAGGCTCCTCTTCATTCAGAAGCAATTAATGTCCCAATGTCAAATCCTATGAAGAGGTCAATGCATACGGAAATCCAATAATCTTATACGAAATTATTATCAGCCCCTTGTATGCTTGTAACCTACTTATATATATGAAGTTGCTCACAACCCAATCCATAGCATTCAAGTTTTGTTGTATAATCCACAGAAATATGGCAAAATTCAATGAAATATTTTTAGCTTCGTTCATATTTGCAGTTGCGCTATTATTCAACTTATTGTTGGCTCCAGTGGACGCCAAGTTCTCCAAGAGCATGTACATCACCTGGGGTCTTCAACACACAGCGATTCAGGGCAACGGTGAAGATCTTCAGCTTGTTCTGGATCAAACTTCAGGTCCAAAAGAGATACAGCACAAAAAATAATCAGTTCTCAGCTTATTATATAAGTACTAGCTAGTGTGATTCAACAAGAATATACATATTTCTGGTATTTCCTTCTGCTTTCAGGATCTGCTGCTCAAACAAAGAAAGCATTTTTATTTGGAAGCATTGAAATGCTGATCAAGCTGATACCTGGTAACTCCGCTGGAACAGTTACAGCCTATTATGTAAGTTCACTTAGACCCAAAAGGTGTCATTATATTTATTTATACATGATTTCTCTTGTATCTTTATGGATCGATCTTACCCGTGTGTGTGTGTGTGAAGTGTTAATCTGATACATATATAACTATCCAAAACGTGTGTAGCTATCCTCCACGGGAAGCCAGCATGACGAGATAGATTTTGAGTTCTTAGGCAACGTTTCAGGACAACCATACATTGTCCACACCAACCTATACACACAAGGAATAGGCAACAGGGAGCAACAATTTTACCTCTGGTTCGATCCAACGGCTGACTTTCATAATTACACCATTCATTGGAATCCCAAAGAAATTGTGTAAGTCAACTTTTGTTCCTAGAATCCTAAACAAAGAAACATAAACATAAACATAAACATGCCTTGATAACTGCAAGTTTTATGAGTGTTACATATATATTATCTCAGATGGTACGTTGATGGGCTTCCACTTCGAGTTTTCCGAAACTACGAAAAAGAAGGCATTGCTTATCCAAACAAGCAAGGAATGAAGGTCTATACCAGTCTGTGGAATGCAGATGACTGGGCAACTAGAGGTGGGCTTATTAAGACTGACTGGAGTGATGCTCCGTTCATTGCCAGACTTAGCCATTTTAGGGCAAGGGCTTGCAGGTGGAATGGACCAGTGAGCATTAGTCAGTGTGCAGCCAATGTCCCTGCAAACTGGTGGACGAATCCTATTTACAGCAGGCTGAGTTATGGCCAGATGGGTCAGCTGAGTTGGGTCAGAAAGAACCACATGATTTATGACTACTGCACAGATTTCAAAAGATTTAATGGACAAATGGCTCCTGAGTGCTTTAAAAATCAGTTCTAAGTACATGTGGGAAATTGCTCTCAAGTTTCCTTCTTCACCTGCTTTTGGGTCTGTTTCAATCCTGGGTGCTTTCATTCCTGTTCACTAGGAGCTAGCGTAATAAATTAAAAGAGCATTTCTGTTATTCATTGATTATTTATTTATGTGTCTTTATGAAGAAGCGTTTCTTACTCCTAAGTTCTTACAAGCTTATCATTATGAGGCAACTCGTGGGTCTGATATTGTGTGCATTAATAGCAAGACATTGCTGAATAAGAGATAGAGTGAACTTCTGCAATTAAAAATGGTCCGGTATGTTCTTCCAAGATGCTGTCAAGTTTCTCTCGTTTTCATGAATCCAGATCCAGTGAAAAACTGCGTATATCTGAAAAACAGCGACCAGGTCAACCTCGATCTTCTTCAACTCGTTCTATGCAAAATTGATTGGTTGGATAAAGTAGACATGAGCAACTCAAGTAATTAAATTTAACGGATCAGATTAAAATCCGACTCGTCATCTTATCAATTAGAATAAACCTGTCGTTTACATCTGATTTCCAAAAAGCATTGCTTCGCATGAGTTTCCAGCCAGACGTACGAGCATCCCCGGATACTCAACGGGCTAACTAGCGCCCAGCTATTAATTAAAGCCCCTGTTGAAATCACCTATATGCGTGTTTTGTATTACCGAGATAAAATTCCTTTATATACTTATTTTGTATTTTGTAAATTATAATTAAAAGGCTGGTTATAAATATTTTTAAACAGGTCCTAACACGAAAAGTGGACACTAAGGTCTGAATTAAATGTCTTTTTATTTTTTTTCTATGTGTATATACATCCACCACTAATTAGCTCAGATATTTATAAACTTCTCCCCAACATGACAAATGAATCATATGTAGTTTGCTGATAATACATGTAAAATGCAATTTGTTATAGGTTTTATGATATACTACCTCGGGTCCCAATTATAAGAACCAATTGACTAATTTGAAGAGATCAAGGAAGTAAGTTGAGTTAGTTATTTGTTCTAAATAAGTGTTGTCTTTCTTAAAATATCCTTGCTAATCAAGTGTATTGACTAGGACTATCATTGTTAGAAGGGCTACTTTGAAAAAATATATCTAAATATGAGAGACAAAGTGGATTGGAATCTTATATTTAGAAGAAAAATAAAAGTCAAACAGGGTCTTATATTAAAGACTGGAGGTAGTATCTATTAATTTATTAATTGAATGGAAATTTGTTTGTGCAATACAAAGGATAACTAACAGCTTAATATTAACATTCAAGATTTTAGATGAATTAAAAATTTAATTTTAAAATAGACCAAAAAAAGGTAGAAAGACAACAACGAGTGCAATAATAACGAGGGGCATAAAACTCGAGACAATTAAATAGACAGGAACATAACGATAGCCAATATTAGTAGTATATACACTTCAAATATTCTCACATTATCGGAAAATTAAAGAAGACGGGAAAACAAAATTGAAACGAGAAATGGTCGACGAAAAAAAAGTGGTCGTAAATAAGCCATACATCGTGATCTATGCATTGAAGTGCGTAGCTCCGTGGATGTTGATTTTCCGTAGTTTTCAAAGAAGAAATGTTACAGTAATTATCGCGGTCTATTCTATAATTACAATTATTTGTTTTCAAAATTTGTTGTCTATCGTCAACTTGTCTCAAAGGACGATTTTAAAAAAATTACTTTAATCCACGTTCTTATCTTTAATATCCTTATTATTCTATCTTAATTTTGTTTATTTATATATTCTCCACTGATCAAATTAAATTAAGCTAATAGAGTATTTTGTTAAGAACGTGAAAATTGAAATTGAAATACAAAATAAAATTTTTACTTAAAAAAATTATTCATATAAAAAATAAAAAAGTTTACATAGTTTTAAAAATTTTGAACAACTTTTTTCCTTCACACGCTAAATATAAGTATCTCTCTTAGTTAGTATTTAAATCTTAGTTTGTCATGTTATAAGGACCTGCCTCGTTCTTCTACTATATCCATCCCTTATTGGTTTTGAGCACTTTATACAATGTGTGTGCATTCTAATTTCTAAATTTGCCATGGTCCCTTACAGAATAACTTAGATCATTAGATGTCCCTCTCGTCAAATACTGAGAAGAACTATGTAGAAGTTTACACGCGCGCGCACAAACACAGCCCAAAACATGAGTAGGTAGAGGCATAGCAGGATGGGCTCGTGAATTATTAGCGGGGAGGTCGTTGGGTGGGGCGTGCGATCGAGTGTGACGTTTGCAACTTGCAAGCGTATGGAGCAGGTATCGGTCGTTATTAGATAACGACGTTGTCTTCCCCCGAAATATTTACTTACCTGACGTTAGACTTTGCTCCTTTCGGGAATATGATCAGATTATTATAACATGGTTAAAACAAATTAACAACATTTGTTCTTATCAAGACTTGTTTAAAATTCTATTAATGAGTCACACTCGTGCTGCGACTGGAATAATTCCCTTTCTTCCATATAAGGTGAGAGCTAATAACGTTACTGTTTCTAAATGGAATTGCGTGGGGCCACGTGCCATCCTCGCATATCAATAATGATATATTAAAAATCACATTATTCATAAAATCATTAATGATTTTATTTTATATTGCAACAACAACAAGTCTTGTCTTACCAGGTAGGGTTAGCTATATGGATCACATGATATCGTTGTACTCTATCAACAATCAAATTCTTATATATGTTGTTAACTAAAAAGTCCCGTTCAATAATGACCCTATTGAATGTTCTCTTCAATCTTCTTTTGGCCTTATTTACAGTGTGTTTTGATTGATGGTAAAAGAAGTAATTTTTTTCCAATAGATTGGTGTAATGTGCTTTATGTTTTGATTAGCTTTAATAAAAAAATTAGCTTGACAAAATCTTGTTTGGATAAAGAATCAAAACAAAGAAAACAAAGAAGTGGAGATGAAAAAGCCAGAAGCCAAAAGTCAGAAGTCAATCCAAACATACATTTAAGCCAGAGCTATTTTTTCATGGCGTGGAAGTCAGTTTGGGATCAATAACTTGATCCCGAACACACCCTTAAATGGCTTCTTATTGTGTGACTTATCATGCGCCTCCGGTGCCATTCTATTTTATAATTTATGCAAGCTATGGGATACTCCCTCCGTTCCTTATTATAAGAGACATTTGATGCTTATGGCATATTTTTATATATAAGAGACACTTACAAGTTGTCTCTACTTTTTTGTGTTGATTTACTATTTTACCCATATTTATTATCTTCAACTCACACTCTTTCTCCCTCTCACTTCTCTTTCTTTTAATAATTTAATTATTCTCTCTCATGCTCTCTCTCCTTATTAATGAGGGCATTTTTGAAAAAAAATTATACTTTTTACACATTAATTGTTCTTAGCTAATTTTAACTGTTTTTTTGATCAACGTACTTCGGTTATTTGTCTCTTATAATAAGAAACGGAGGGAGTAAATAAGAAGCATGTGAAAATAACTAGAAATTTTTTAATCCTATCTTTCTTTGATAGAGATGAAATATCTTCATAATAAAAAAATCCTGTTAAATTAAATCAATTGAAGACGTGAAGTTATATTATTTGTAAGTGATAAGTTGATTGATTTCATCCACATCTACTGACGGCTTTGATGTTATCTTTTCCGCCCACTCCGACGCACAAACAATACATTAGTAAAGAACAAATAAGAATGTAGGTGTAGAAAGTAACATTAGACGACGCATATGTTGGTAAAATGAAAAGACTTTTCCAAATGATTTTTAAAGTAGAAAGTTATTTGGGTTTTTTTTTCCCCTTCATGAAATTATCTGTATGAGAAGTTAATATGAGTTGCTTTTCAACAACTACTGATTTTTGAATAGCTTTCGGCCACTTTTTTTTTTTTCAAATAATAAAAGCTGGTTTGAAGTAGTACTTTCCAAACAATTTTTAATTTGTTAAACTGTTTTTTTTTAAATCCAAATAACAATTAACAAACTAATTTTTGATGAATTAACCTTTGATAAAACTGAAAAGCAAAAATATACTCCGAGAATGGATTAGTTATAATTTAGAAGCTCTGTCGGGATGGGCCTCACCATACCAAGCATGAGGTGCAGGCACTATTTTTTTTTTTTGGCTGCAAAGTCAGAGTTTAATAGTAGTAACTCAGCACTGTTTTTATAAAAAAAATGGATTTTTTGATTAAGTACAGATTATTAATCATTATATTGTATCAAACAATGTGGAAGAAGTAGTTATAATTAGAGCGCTTCACTCTTATTAACATTAGAGTATAATTTAGGGTTGATACTCCTCAATTGAAACCTAGTTGAGAAAGTATCAATCAATTAAGAAATCCAAATCTCTTTCACTTAGTTGATGGATAAAATCACCCATATAATATATAATATAAGAGTTAAAGTGTAAATTTGTTTTTAAAAATTTTCTCAAAAGTTCTCTTTTGGTCCTTAATATAAGATTCATTTAATTAATTTGATTAGATTAAGAAAATTAGGTAAGTTAATTATAAGAAAAGTGACACATTGTTCCTAAAACACCATAATCATCTTTCTTAATACCCCATCTCCCTCTTCTACTTGATTATGGTTGAGAGAGTATCTATAGGGGTAATTTAGAGAAAACTGATAAATATGAGAAATTGGTCTTGTATTTAAGACCAAAACTAATTCAAAAATTGGATCCTATATTAAAAACCAGAGGAGTATTATATACTAAAATTTTTTTGAGTGTAAATTTACCGTAAAAATTTAAAATTATCCTAATTTTGCCTCTCACTATTAAAAAAATTAACGTTGATCAGTAAAATAGGAGCATTATCATTAATATCTTTAATAGTAAGAGATAAAACTGCTATAATATTGAATTTTCAGTATAAATTTGTATATTAGAAAACTTTTAAATATTGTTCTTGAATAAAAAATTTTAAGGATAAATTTGCAGTATAACCCTGCATTTATAATAAGGGTCTATTCTCCAAACCATAATTTGGTTTCATCCAAACACACCCTTAATCTCTTCCCCCCACCCACCTGCAT